GCATGAGAACGTAGCCCACAGGATACTCTAAAACTATGGACTATATTTCTACCAGAATAATTAAGCTTAGTTCCTTACTTTCCAGTTGGTCCTTGAGGAACATTTCCTGTGGATGTGATAAGCGAATGAGAGCGGCGTCAATCTTATGGCCAATATGTCCAAAACATCCGATCACAGTAACAGTTCCGTACTCGTTTACGCGCACGTTTAGGAAACACGTGCAGTGCCTTGTCTGCTTTGTGGACGGCCTGGGTCTCTTCAATCCACCGCTGACATATCGACCGGACCTACCACATCTGAAATATGGCCGAAAAAAATAATGGGTCATGAATATCAAAAAGTACTCCACATTACATTGTTTTTCCAGATGACAAATGGGACGGACATCGTGTTTGAGAGACAAACTAGTTGTATCAAGAGTCCGAGAGACACAGGGCTTGGGCTCATAATTCGCAAATGAGGAAAATCTACAAATCGGGATAACGCACTCCAAAGAGTGTAAACATAGATCTGAAGATTATGGCGAATGGAAAACGAGCCACTCGTGAGAATACGCGACCAAGGGTTAGATTACAGGTGAATCAGGTGGTTCGGTCTAATCATTGGTCGCGCGTTCCAAAAAACGCCGGTTGGCCAAGTAATCGATTCCTGTCTATTTCTCTTCCCTAATACTTTTCCTTTTCCCTTCAACTGCTGGACCAGTAGATGGGATGAAAAAATACCTCTGCCCCTCGTAGCGAGAAATGTCCGGTTGACAAGAGTCCTGTAACCCATTGCAAGCCGGGTGACGTACGCAGCATTCGCACCAGGACCCAATCCGCTCAACGTGGGCGTGCTGCGGCGCGTGGACTCTATTGACTCTCTCTCTCTCTGCGTCTGTGCCTCTCACGTCAACTTGCTCTCTGTAAACCTTGCTAGCGCGCGATGCCGCAGCTACGAAGTAACTAGTACAGTGTAAGTAGCACAGACATCAACTATCTGCCAGTGAAAAAGAAGTCACAACAAAAAAGCTGATCACGAAAAACTGTTTCACTCACCTCAAATGAAATGAACCCTTTCGTTCTGATTGCTGGCGAGTTGTTTTCCGGAAGAAACTCGTGCATGTTCGTTCGCACTGCTCGGACATCCATTTCTGCAAACGGTAGACTTCACTGCAGTGAAAAAGACACATGAGATGAATAAGACATCACCTCAAATTCGGATAATGACTTGAGGGTTTTCTTGAACACAGTGTAATCTTGGGGTTCCCCATCAGCTCCGATATCCCTGTGATAAGTTGTCGCAATGTCTAACAAAGCCGACTTGATCGAAAATTATTTCTCCGCATAGGGGACAGGAAATCCGAGCACGTTCACGACGATTGGTAGCTTTATGTCCTTCTAAACGAATATCAACCTTTACTCTGTTGATATCCTCTTTTGAGAAAGAGTGAGATCTCTGCAAATGAGCGTACAAGTTCCTCCGAAGCATCATTCTCGAACATAAAAAGCAGCGCAAGCGCTTCTCGTTCTCCTGCTTTTCTTTTGCTTTTGTTAAATGGCGTCTCTAGGGAATGAGCAGTTGATGATGACGAGGACATATCAAAGCGTCGCTCAGGTGATAATGGCGACTCGCACTCGCTAACGTCACTTTTTGGAGGGGCATCTGAAACCTCTTGTGTTGAGGGCGTGCGATGACACGCAGAGGCAGCTCTGAAATTCCGTGAAGATTTCATTCTTTTGTCATCTCCTTGAGACGTTGAAGGATCGTTTTCTACCGCGATTCCAGGTTCACACTCCATCGCTGACATTAAATCTTGGAAATCTTTCACATCTTCGCATTTCTAAAAAAATGTTGTAGATAACCAAGGTTTGAAAAGGATATCCAGTAAACGAAGATAAATTTGTACCTCGTCAAGTTAGCGCTTTCTGCCACCAATACCGGGCTCATTGCCATCTGCTGTTACGTCCTGACCAGAAGGATTGTGCTTTTTCTCATCTTCCATCCACAAATCTCCACAGTCATTCTCAGCAGGAACTGGTGTGAGTCTGTATTTGCGTTGGATCGTTCTCAGCTCTTCTCGAGTAACACGATGAAGTCGAGAGGTTTCTAAGGGGAAATCTTCCTTCAGGCGGTTCATGATGTAGTCGACGGAGTGCACTGAAAAGTTTCAGTAAAGAGTCTCACTTAAAATAGGGTTCATCTCACAGAATGGCTTCTCCTTACCTTCTAACAAGTCTTTTAAGTAGTTCTCTTGTTCCTGTGATAGATGAGGAAGAGCTGTTTCGACTCTGTGACCCACATGACCAAAACATCCTTGAGCCGTGACCATTCCACGATCGTTTACGCGCACATTCAAAAAACACGAACAATGCTCGTTTGATTTTCTGCTACGTCTAGTTCTTTTGCGACCATTGCGTAAGAAACCGGGCAGCTTCTATGGCAATCTGAAACAGGCTCATAATGTAGCAACAAGAGGGACGCGCAAGGAGATCGTAACTTCTGCCGCCTGTCGCGCCGCGGCAGTTGGGCCCGACGCTTTCCTCAATTTGCAACTACCCTTTCATTTGAGCGCCGGACTTCTTGTAGCCAAGGGCATGCTAGACACTTATGTCTATTTTTGATCATAAATTGTCTATTCTCAACCAATACCACCTAAAATCGTCGTCATTAGGGGGGAACGTCGCACGCGACGCCCACTGGCGCGGCCAATTACGATTTTCTAGCCACATACCAGAGATCAAGTGACCTCCTGCATAGTGAAAGAGGTCACTCTGGGAAGCACACTCTGTACTTTAGATAATAATGGATGAAAGGAGAGTCTTCGCCGTTCCATCAATCTCTGTTTGGGATGCCTCACACATTCTATTTCCATTCTAAATCGTAGTGAATGCGATAAGGTCTGTACAATGCTTGCGGGGGTGGGGGGCAGCCGATGTACATATAACTGTTCCTATCCTCCCAGACAAACCTGGTACCAATTTTCCGTCCCCGGAGGGTAGAGGGCTTGGTTAACCTGGGCGGGAGCCGATACATAATTTAACCCCAGGCGACGCTTGGTAAGCGTGCCCAGCTTCGCCCCTTCCGGATAATACGATAATAAAAAGAGCCATAACCCAAGGATCTGGATCAATTATCTGGGCAACACGACACACGTACTCAATGAAATTTGTGCATAACTGCCGATAGCAATACGATTTTCAAAGTTGAAAGGGGACTTGTTGCTCTAAGTGTTTCCATGATTGCGCCACACATTCTTACAGGCAGAGTAGTAGCGCCTTCGCATGCAATGTGGCATTCACAATGACAAGCAGGCTCAGACGATGAAAGTCAAGTGTTCTATCCTCTCAGACCTTCAGCAGAAGCCAAAGCACACGCCGGGTCAACGCTAGTCTAGTGAGTTGCTCGTTTGGAGGTACATTGTCTGGTTACCTCCCCTGAGCGTTGGCTGTCTAACAAGACTGCCTCTGTGGCGTGCTATATGAAATATCTCGTAAAAGTGAGTGCCACGAACTTCAAGAACTGAACCGTGAAATGCTCAAAAACCTGCAAGCAAGCCTTGCCTTCTTATGACTTGAAAAGCGATTTCGAACGCGTGAGAGTTTCGTGGCATCCTTCTCAGTAACAACTCGGCTGAATACAGGCTCCGTCTGTACACATATCTACTCAGCACCTCGGCTTCATATCGATCCCTTCGCTTCATAATTTACCTGGCAAATTAAGCAGTACAACCATAAGGTACGGTCGTCCATTTGTGGGCGGGTGAGCGAGATGGGCGCCCGGGTTGGTATGTAGTAGCTTGCGACTAGACCTTATAAGGGGGTTTTCTGAATAGAGAGAGTCGCACGAGAGTCTGCTCCAGTGTGTTGGCTCAAGTAATTCCGGCCCTCTCGCTGCGGTGACGTATTAATCCTACACGGTCTCAGCTGATTATCGTGTCAAGTGCCTTTATTGAGGTGCCAATATGTTGAGAGCAAGGCCCACTACCTGACGCCGCTAACATCGCAAACTCGTTTGCTCCTTGCTATACTAGCACTATGCGTAATATGAAAAATGGAGGATTGTCATCACCTAGGTCAGAATTTAGTTCAGAAACCAATTAAACTCGTATACTCGGAGGGCGGGTCACACTATCGACTGTTTTTCTTTTTACTCCATGCCACCATACATGTCTCGAATCTGCACATGAAAGGCGTATACAGAATGATCAGAAGCTTGTCTGGAGAACGAGAGCACATTAGTGATGCGCAGAAGCTAGAATGTTTCCCGCACGTTTTTTGGAGAACGTGGCCGCCAAAATAGCCAAATGCGGTATCGATACTAGCGAGAATAGGCGTACAAAGGCTTGATCGCGCGTTTTCGTCTCTTAGGTTGGTTGGCCTAAGCATATTTCTCCAGCTCAGCGGTTTTTGTGGTATTAACCAGGAGAGTAGCTCTCGCAGATGACAACTAAACTCTCTCGTAGGTTTTGTCTTTCTGTTGGAAAGATTAGTTTCCCATTAAGTATACAATAATCCGTCCTCATATTATAGCTGCTCTTTTATTTAGTACTAGATAATAAATAGGGAGAATTAGAAGAATACAAGGGTGAGCGAATAGGTAGATCACCTCTAGTGACCGAACTCCATCGACTCCCATCTGAAGTAATGACGCGCAATCTACTATAACGTCAAATCGCCAAGTCTTATAATTTCTCATAGTGTGAACGGGGAGCCTGCGCAAAATTTTTGAATATCAATAGATAGAATAATTTTAATATTCCGCAAAATTGTGAATAATAGAATTTCATATACCATATCCGCATTTCTATAGGCGGCATGTGTGGTAATCAGCAATCGGTTCCCGGATTCCCGTCAGGCCAACCAAGCTTGTCTTCCCCCTGGGGAACGATAAAATTGGTACAGCTTCGTCTGAGAGGAGAGGAACACTGATTCGTACAGTGGCTGGCCCCTGCAAGTTTTTCCGTAGGCCAGGTCGCACTCGATTGGCTACTACGATTCTGAATGGGAGAGTAGGCCTGCTGCATCCCAAAAAGAGATTAATCAACGGCGAAGTCTTTATCCTCTGTCCTTATCGCATTTTAAGAGAAAAGCAACAATTTAAAGAAACCTCATGACGTAAGCAGTTCCACCCGGCGTACTTGCTCGACACGATCGGCGAATGAAAGTTGTGCACGTGCGCTCGCACTGTTCCGAAAGCCACTGCTACAAAATCGACTGTCTATCGATGGAATGGAAAGAAGGGCATTATGGTCCTCACCTCAAAATCAGCATATGAATCGCAAAGCACGGTGAACACGGTATAGTCCTGAGGTTTCCCATCTTCTCCGTCGCTTTTATGCAATCTGTCGCAATGTCTTGCCAAACTGAATTGATCCAGAAGACCCTCTTTGCAGACAGGACAGAATATGGTCGCTTTCTTAGCGCTCTTTCGCCCCGTAGTACCATCCAGTGAATCGATTTGTTCATTCGTAAACGAGTGGACATTTCGTAGATGTTCGACGAGGTTTCTTTGAGACAGAAACTTGGAGCATATACAACATGCAACACGCTGGGCCGGTCGCAAGGCCATCACCTACAAAGTAAAGATTTTAAAGGTACAGGAAGAAGCTAAACAACAAAACCTCTGAAATTTCAACCCTACGAAGAAAAATATCTACACGTAATAATGAATCTACGGTGAACGGTTGCAGCAAGATGTGTGCGCTCACAGGTGAGTTTGCAGATTGTACGACAAGAATTGTGCAAATGCTGTAGTCAGCAATGAGCTAATAATCAACAAATGCAGGTGATTATATGTCATGTTTGGTGCTCGCAAGGCTCACAGGAGGTTGTCAATGTGCAAGTCGAGGTGCAAAACCGGAAATGACTTTTCTACACCAATTAATCGCTTGAAAGGGTGTGCAGGAGCCCAAGTAGTAAAGCTGATTCTATTCTGGACAGCACAGACTCTTATGGAGAGTGGTTCAAATGTTTTCAATATGGTGAGAACAAGAACATAAGGGCGACCCTGTCGACATGTTTCATCGATGGAGTCGATGATAAAAATTGTAAGTACCACTCACCGTTAGGGAATTGCAAAATACAACCACCCTCGGGATTCCTTCTTTGGGTACCCCATCCTACCTCCTATTTTCTTAAATTTTCCCGTTTTATTCATACCACTTCTACAGTTTACTAAAAGTTTTCTAATAGAAACCGCCGCCGAGTGGGGGGGAGGTAACACAAGTTATCTCCGAAAACGATAAAGCGCAGGACGGCGGTGTGACTTGAAGCGCATCCAGAGCAGATTTTTCCTCAATTATAGCGGACTTGGGATGACATCACTGCTGGAACAAGGCCGCCCACGCTGCGCTCCCAACCGCGCCGCGTCAAAAACCCAATCGTTTGCATGGATCACCACTGTATATAGTGTTATAGCGTGTACGAAACAAAACCGAGAGGAGTGAATTACAAGAAACATTTTTCCCCAAGCTCAATACGACCTCCCTCCCTCCGACGACCATAAGCGACCATCGTTGGAACCCCCATCGCGACGTGCCCTGTGGTGTAATTACGTCTAGTTGGTCAGCTTACCCCTTGCTACAGAGCCATCCTGCCATTTTGCTCACTTTTACCAACTTCCTATCATTATTCCGTCTTTTCCAAAGGTCTTTAGCAGGTCACCACCAAGCCAACTGCTGGTTTCCTACCGACAAAAGTAGGTGTGTAAGACTTCGAGTGCGCTGTTAACCAAGGAGAGGACGTGAAACGGAAAAGGCCGCGGAAAGTCAACAACCTCTCGGACGAGAACGACCCCTTCCCCCCAAATGACAGTCTCCCAAGTGGACTGTGGACATAGCGCGTGTAAAATAGGAAAAATCGTCCATCAAAAAACAGTTCCTCAGACCGTGTACGACCTCCATCACAACAGCGACCAAACAAGCCCCCATTAGGGACCCTCCAAGTCGTACGAACGGAGCCCCGATTGGAGCTTTTACTGATGTTGTGCCGAGCCTCACCTGTACTCCGATCGCTTAAACCGCGCGATCGGACCGTGAAGTATGAAAGGCGCTCTAACCATAAGACTGCTGCGCGCAACCCTGGTCAATCAAGTTAAACACCGCATTAGGACCTTTTTTATGTTGTTTGTTACATAAACCTTCTCGTTTGAACTGTTAAACCCTCGCAAGTACGGCTGTGAAAAAAGAATAAAAAAATGACATCAAAAAAAAGTATTTTCTGGTAAACTTCACCCGATTTCGCACAATTCAACAGAATAAGTTGTTATGCTTTATTCGAGACGTGGAACTATTTCAGCAACATATTTTTATCACCAGCATGCCAAACTTTG